TGCTCCTGTTTCAATGCTGCCGGCGCCTCGTCCGAGGGTGCTGCCGTCGTGGCACCTAAGCTCAACTTGATGTTACTTTGCTATGCAGTCCCCCCCCCCCCCCCCCCCCCTCGCATCCGAGCAGAGCGAAGCAATCATCACGCGGAATTCTCACACATGAAACTTTAAGAAGCAAAGGAGCTCGGAGCAGTGGATGATAACGGAATGAAATGCTGTCGCTTTCAAGCGTACACGGTTTTAGAAATGAATAGAAATGAAATAATGATGAAGAAATGCTCTTCAGTATTCACTGGAGACTGACAGTCAAGGCTCTTTTTGTTTGGCTGGGGAGGGCCCGAGATGGCCCGAGATGCCAAGAGCCAGCAACGGCTCCATGTTGAGAACTTGCGTCCTGCTTTTTTCTACGGGCATTCTGGCAAGCTGTCCGCAGGTTCCTTCGCAAGTCCAGCTTCTTTCGGGTGCTTCCAATTTGCTTGTCTTCCGCGTTGGTTGTTGGACGGACACTGATTTGGATCCTGAAACCTCTGGTCTTTCTATTGCCAGGCATTTCCCTTCAATTGTGTATGCTTAAGGATGCAGGGGAGCCACGACGGACTCAAGGAAACGTCACAATGAGCAGCGCAGTCATGACCATCATTGAGGATTCAAAGATCTTGCGCAAAACAGCACCACTGCCCCACTCTTCATAGCTTTGTTGCAGAAACTACTGCTGGCAGCAGCAGGTGGGCTTCAATCCTACGCTTGGTTTCGGGACGTCTAGTCATGGAATGCAACCTACCTGCGAGGTCTGAGGACAAAACTTGGCGCTGCGACTGCTGGTGCAGGTGCCGGCGTGTTGGGCGCCATGTTGCTGGCACTGATGTTGGTGTTCATGTTCGGGTTGAGGCCAGGACTCAATCCACCAAGGCTGCCTTAGAAGACTGCGGCATGTTTACATGTTTCTCATAAATCACGGCACGCGACGAACTCTAGCCTGATCCCGCCATGTCGCTGTGGAAGGCTTGCATTTGCAACGCTTGTTGGGCCTGACTGATGAACTGTGCCTGCATCGCTTGCAAAGCTGCTGCTTGTTGAGTGTTCGCATAGCCTTGGTTTGCATAAGCGGCCATTGGTGATACCATGGGATAGCCGTAGCCGTACGGGTATGCCGCTCCTTCACCCTGGTACGGCCATGAGGGTGGCGTGGAAGCAGCAGGCAAGGTAGTGGCAATGTTTGCTGGCTGTTTGGACTTGCCTTTGCCCTTGTCGCCGCCTTTGCCTTCCTTGCCATCCTTGCCCTTGCCACCTTTGCCTCCAGATGTTTGGGCCTCACGTTCGGCCTTGGTTGTTCCCTGCTGGCGGTCAGACAGCACAACGATCAAGTTTTTGCCTTCAACCTGCTTGTTGTTCATTGCGGAGATTGCCTTGTTGGCATCGGCCATGGAAACGTACGTGACAAAGCCATAGCCACGGCAAGTCCCATCCGTGTTCTTCTTGACATCTACCCCAATTAGCTCGCCGAATGGTTGAAAAAGGCTCTGAAGTTGCTCCGTTGTAGCATCCTTCACCAAGTTGCGGACACAAAGCTGGATCCCAGAGAGTGCGCCCTTCTTGCCTCCACCCTTGCCCTTTTCTCCTTTCGCAGCCTTTTTGGGGGCCGCTTGCGCCTCTGGTGTGATCAAACCCGGCTGCTGAGGAGGGCCCGGTTGTTGCGGCTTCTTCTTGGGCGCTGCTGGCGCCTTGGCTGATGTCTTTGCCACTGGTTTTGCAGCTGGTTTTACCTTTGGCTGTGCTCCCGGCTGCAGAGGCCCTGCAGGCGGTGATTTTGATGGAGCAGCAGTTTTTTTGGGCTCGGCCACCTTTGGATCCTCCTTCTTGCTCTCTGATGCAAGCGACTTCTCCTCTGCCTTTGCCGCTTCAGGCTTTTTTTCGGCCCCGGCCTTCTGCGGTTCATCTTTCGGCTGTGCTTGCTTTTGAGACTCCTCGGCTTTGGGCGCATCGTCGACGTGCCCATCCTGTGGCAAGGCACGTCTAGAAAGCGTGTCAGCATCTTTTAAATGCCGATGTCATCCAGCAGCCCACCTTTGGTGCATCTTGTGGAGCCTCGGAGGACTGATTGCCGCCCATGTTGACGAGGACAGGCCTCGGCTCATCGAAATTTAAAGGTTGGACGATCCATAAGATCAGGCTGAAAGCTTTCAAGCCAAGGCGCTTGGGAAATTACCGCTCTCACTCTTGGTGTTGCCCGGGCGGACCCAAAGCACAAACTGAGATCAAGCAGCTGCGGCAAGGACGCAAACATCAACACAACATTAAGCGCAGCTCCCACGTCTTGCACATCACCATGTGCAACATCTATCATCTAGCATGACACCCACCGAACAGCCGGCCTGCAGTATGCACTTTGCCACAGCAGCCTGACACGTACAAGTTATTTTGGCCATAGCTGAACACACAAGCTCACCCATTTCGCTAACCACACAAACCAAACATGTCGGTACTCACATGCTTCTGAACCTGGTTTGAATCAATGTCTGCAAACTTTTCCTCACTTGCAAAACGAAACAACACTGAGCTCTGCACAGTCATGCACTGTTCCAACCTAAATCAACACAGCTGCAGAATGCTCGGCCTCAACTTTCCCATCCAACCGATATGTATATGCTGAGGCTGTAACAATGTCACATCTTCTCCCAGCACTTGCCTCCCCACTTACGCAACATGAGATCACGCAATTGACAACATGGCCGACCTCAAGCGAAGATTGCGCAACTCTACCTGGAAGTCAGCAAGCCCGTTGCATGCAGCATGGCCTGACAAAATAGCTCGGGAAAGCAGCAGCATAATCGTTCCACCCCCCCCCCCGCTCCACACGTCTGTACGCTGAGATTGGCACAGTCAGTGGTGACCACCATCGATGCAGAAACCTAGTTGTGCCTAAACCTTATAACTAACCAGCGGGCTGCGCCATGCTAAGTTTTGAAAATCTGAGCCAGTGTCGTTCCCAGTGGTGTTATCCGTATCATTGACCGCCGCGCAAGGAACCTCTGCAAACAGTTCTCGCTTGCACTGTGCAATCTGCAAATTGTAACTTAGCACGTCTGATTTGCAGCGTGGCACGCGACACCTAGGTATCGCGCACACAGCAAGACCAGGCAAGATCTTCGTCGCGCGGCCATTCCCAGTCCCATGGCCAGCACAAGTCACCCTGGGACATCCATCATGACAACACTCAGGTGGAAGCTTGCGTCAATGTTATGCCACCCCCGTGCCAAGTCATACGTCCAGAAATGTTTGCCTGACATGCTGACATGCTTCCCAAGAACTATGCCTGGCTGGTGCTGGTTGGCTTGAGCGTAAATACGTTTGAACTGTCGCCCCAGGTCCACTCCTCAATGAATGCTGATCGCACGATTTTTTTTTTGGTGTTTTTTCTCTTCGGACATTTCCGCCTGCTCAACGTGCTTTAGTCGGTTTGAGCACTGGTGGCTCAACGCGGCCGGCCAGCTAGCAGCGCACATCAGCGGGCGCCGGCAGGCGGTTGTTGCGCAGGTACTCAGTGGGCGGCTTTTTGCTGCTGCACGCATCTACGCCTGCCACGCCAACTCCAGAAGCATTCAGCAAGTTCTCGTTGCGCAGCGACGGCACGGACGCCCATCCATGGGTGGAGGGAGGCCTGTCGGGTGGCTGCTCACAGGCGGGCGGGCACTTCCCGTGCATTTGCCACGGCGAGCCTGCGCAAGAACATAGTCGCTTCCGCCCCGAAAAGCCCACCCAACTCAATGCCAACCACAACAAGTGTGCACCGGCTAGCACCCGCCAGTTCCGGACACGTGTCCCGCCAGTTGCGATTAGTCGCTGCTGAGACTGCGTGGCCGGCCGTGCGATCAGCACTCCATCGCAGGACATCGCGGGTAAAAGCGAGACTAAAATTGTGTGCGGAAATTGGAAGCTCAGAGACTGGCATGCGATCCGTAGCCTGGGGAACGGTGCTACCTGGCAAGGGGTGCGTTGCTCAAACTCCACAGGGCTGGGATCCCGGCCAATCTATGGCACTTGATAGATGAAATTGTGACCCATCCCACGACCACGGTCCGCATTGGATCGCGTTGGGATGTGGAATCTGGAATTGGTCAACGAACTGTTCTTGGTGGTTTCTTGTAATCTTCTGGGTAACGGCCTTGCAACTACCCAAACCTGCGCTTGCCCAGGGGTCGCATGCGGACCTGACAGCAATGCCCCGCGAGTCCAAATGCTGCGTTGTGCGGGTGATATTGCTATCCAAGGGGAGACGCCCAATGACGTGCAACGGGCGTTATATGCAGCACGCCAATGGGCAAATGCTTGGCGTTTTCACTTCAGTCCTGGCCCCGCCAAATCGGCATTCATGGTATTTTCGCGGGGCCGTGCTAGCACACACCATTTTCATGTTGGCGGGTTCAACCTGCCGCCGTGCAAAGCTATACTTACTTAGGCGTCACTTTGCACGAATGGCTTTCCTGAGCTATTGCGTCGTGGTGAGGGTAAAATGGCTGCCTGTTTTTCATGGACAACCTCGGAAAGCCTGCCACTCCATTTTGTCGAACGCGTGTTTCAAACATGTGTTACCCCTCGGTATGGTCTGCTGAGCCTGCCGGTATATTGCTCTGCCGGACACATCGCGCGGTATGCAAGTTGCCAACCCCATTGTTGGGTCCATTCGCATCCGCATGATTCTGGAATCCATGTGGGGTGCACCCGGTCGCTGCTTCAGGGTTGGCTTCGCGCCTTGAAAGTTGTTTTGTGTGACCGTGGGCCTTTGCGCGATTGATCGCAAGTGCACACTGTTGTGTATGGACCCCATGTTGCACCGCATCGTGCACGCTATTGGGTTAGCGCGGTGTGGTCACCATTGTTTCCATGACGGACGCGCCGCCCGGCACCGCGCATGCAATGAAACTGCCGTTATGTCGGTTTTGCGCCTGTGACAGTGATTCCTTGATGCATGCCTTGCCTCAATGTCCTGCGTATAATGTTGCCCGGCAGCGTTGGAGGTCGAGCTCCCAGCATGCTGATGCAATCAATTTGCACACCCTGTTCTCCACCAACAGAGATATGTATACTGCCCGGGATGTGGTCAACAACATTAATTTTGTGGCCCGCGTTTGCATTGCTGCTGAAGCGTGTGGGATGTGAAGCGCGGCAAGTCGGAGTGCACCTTCATTGTACATACAAGAAGTACGTTATCTTTATCTGCTGGCAAACTGGGCATGGCCCACGCGTCCCGAGCAGCGCTAGCGACTGCTCATTGGACCGCGGCAGAGAGAGAACCCTACCACCGCCTTGCCCAGACCTGCGCCGCTGAAGCACGCAAGGCGTGAGGCGCGCGCCTGCTGCGCAAGCGAACGAGGCTCTTGACAAGCCGCAGGGAATCCTCGTTCCATCGGCCGCCGACCTCGACTGCGAGGAGTGACGCACAGACGTTGCGCTGCGACATGTATTTTAGTCTCTTACCGTGACCAACGGTTGTGAACTGTGGACTTGGAAGTGCAATTGCGTTGAGACAGCATTACGCGAACTTGGGCAATGAAATTTTGTGACGTTGTGTTGCCCATAAAAAATGGAAGAATATCTATTGAATCTATTTCTTGGTTGTTCTTGTTGTTGTTTTCTTTCTGTGTGTTTTTTTGTTCCTGGTTTTTTGGCTTGTTGGCCTGTCGGTTTCTTGGCTTCCTGGTTTCTGAACTTTCTCGCCTCTTGGCCTCCCGGATGCCATACGCGCAATGTGCATGGCAATTTGAGTTGCGGCCGGGTGTGCGTGTTTGTTTCGTGCCCGCGCTAGATCGGGTGCCGGTCCTGGACGGCGCTCGCGCCTTCCGATTTTTGTCAACCGGCACCCACTGCGCTGACGCTGCGAGCCGGCCCTAACACGAGACCGCAGGCCTGAAACCGACCCCCTCCGGCACCCAGCGAGAAAAGGTCCGTGCAAAAAAGGAAAAAAATCACGACCGCCGCAAAATGCATGTAATTTGTCAGGAATATCTATTCGCTCGAGCGATTTAATATGTCAGTGCCCTTCACCTGCGTCTTTAACGAAGGCACGACGAAGTCGCACAAAGGGTTGCGTTAGCCTTTGGCTTCTTTTCCTCGAATTGGCGCGTCACGTTTCGCTTGTTCGTTTTTTTTTTGTTCGCTCAAGTGGGCGGAAGCTCGAGCAAGGAACTAGGCCGCCCAGCGTGTGACCCAGGCAGGAGGCACAGCGGCAGCCCGTCGGCCCGCAAGCAAAGGCAAGTGGCAGCCGCCGACCTGCAATGGCGACGAGGCGGCACTGGTTTTTCTAGTGCCTGTTTCTTGGCTGTTTTTTGCGACCGACGCCTACGCAAAGCTTGCATGGGGAAACCACCCATAGGGCCCCTTTCTTTTACCATCATGGATGATGAAGTACGTCCCTTGTATAGTAATGGACCTAAGACCCTTTTTTTTTCCTCGCGCCTTTTTCCACCAGCATGTACATCGCTCTTGTTCGCCAGAAGCGAATGAGGCCAGCCGCTCACCTGGGCGGGAAGCGGCTAGCCGGCACCGGGTGCTCCTAGCGGTTGTCAACCAGGAGGTCATGAGGCTCCTGCGCAAGACCCTCGCCGTTGCCCTCGCCTGCGAGCGGGAGCTCGAGCGGAGCTGGCGTATGCTCGCTGTGCGGCAACGGCCAGTTAGTGCTGCCCATCTGGAAACCCAGGCGG